GCTGGGAACTTCAAAATAAAACAGGAAACAACCTGAGACAAACTGATAACTTTCCGACATAACAATCCCAACTAATGGCCCACTTACATGTGTTTTCTAGAACTTTCAACTGTATCGAAAGGTCTTCATCAGTGGATGGAGTTGCAATGGAGATGGGGCTTTTTGAAATGCAAGATTAGCAACTGTTATGATTTCACCCAGAGCCCTAACTCGTCCCTTTTAGCTTAAAAATTCATCTTTAAAGGTCCACTTACTGTGTTTTTCTGGAGCTTTCAACCGTATTACAAGGTCTTCATCAGCAGATGGAGATTTAAAAAAACTGACGAAGTATGTATTTTATGATTTCATATATTTTTGCTAGATTTCTTCTGCTGCGTAATATGGTAGAACGCTAACTTTGACAAGTGCGTGATTAAATAAACTCCATCTTAATACGAGGTCTAAATTCTCAAGTTTCATTATTTAGCATTGGTGCAGGATTAACTCATAGTAGTCTTTGTACAAAAAAATAAAAACTATAGGACCCAATAAAGAGTCACACCATCCAATTAACATTCTGCATGATGACATTTTGTGCTGAGGTGACAGTAAATGTACCACTTCCTGGGCTGCAAAAAGTTTCAGATCCACCAAAAAAGACAAAGTGACCCTAAACAGTCAAACCCCCGCTGCATGTGCGGAAAAGAAGAAACTACTAATTGCCTGCGAGAAACTTCTCATTTGACCCGAGTAAAACCTTAGGTTCTTTTATTTTTTTTCCAGTGGACAGGCCTGTGGAAGTGGGGGCGGAACTGAGCTGTAATTGGTTTCTGTTTACCAGTAATCCTGCCACAGAGGCACAACCACAAGCAATTAGCCAGACAGCTCAGGCTTTATCAGTACAAAACTGGCACTGTGTGTGTGTGTGTATGTATGTATGCATGTGTGTTAGTCATGAGGGAAAATGTGATTAGGCCGAGATAGAAATCAGCTCTTTTGTCCTGGTTTCTTTTGGTCTCCTGGTCCTTAAATGTCCGGTATGAAAACATAAAAAAGAAAAAAAGGCAGACTTTATTCTAATGAAGGTTACCCTCAATGCAGTCCTTCAGAATAAAAAAGACAACAAAACATTTGATGTGCCTCAATATGAATCCATGTTAAGCTGTGAATGTGACAAGACCGGGCCTTTAAAAGGTCCTTAATACGTTTGGGAGGATGTTGGCGTATGACTCATCACTCTTTGTCTCCACACAAAGTGTTTTTTCAAAGCACCAGAAAAAAAAACAAGATTGAATTGCTTTGTAATTTCTCAGAACCGTAAACCTTTTGGTTTCCATAAAGAACATTTTATGAGAAGGTAAGAAATTGTTCTAAAAGCTCCAAAACCAGTGATGTAGATTTTTACCGATCACACTGATTCCTTCATTCAGATTCAGTCATTGACGTTTCGTGCTTCATTGCGAGTAGAATGTCAAACCTAAATAAGTCTAAAACCCTTTTCTTCTGTACACAGAGAAGTATATATATACTGCAACCGTGACAAAGCTGAACACAAGACAGTTCCTCTGAATATCAGAGAAGCAGGTCAGTGGAGGATAGTCTGAGCTCACATCAGACACGACGAAGACGAAGGGGGATTTATGAATGAAACTGCGAGCAGCGAGCAGCCCACACACACACACACACACACACACACACACACACACACACACACACACACACACACACACACACAGATTCTAGCAGACAAGATTTGACAGGCAGCCAAAAATAGAGACCACGGTGCAGGCTTGCTGACGACAGAAGTGCTCTCTCTCTCTCTCTCTCTCTCTCTCACACACACACACACACACGCACACACCCCTCTGCAGTCCCTCTGTCACCCCGCCCGTCTCGGGCTTTGGCGGAGTCCGTATGTGAGTCATCGGTGGGCTTCAACCTGCCTCTGTCTCTCAGTGCTGCAGCAGAGACACAACAGCAGTCAGTGACAACAACGGCCATTCAACAGTCACTGTGGGCGAAATATTACTATGAGCTTCAGATGCAGAGAAGAGCCAAAATAAATCAGAAAAAAACATTTATGGACTTTATTGGCAATTAAACACCATTTATTGAGCTTTAAATGGTGAATTAGTTAGTTTGAGCTGCTTTATTTCCACCCCTGGATAAGCACATGTCCACTTATGGTATTTAATTAAAAATGCCCACTACATGTCCTCATAATAAAACAAGCTAATAAACCTCACGATGAGCTCACATTACAGTCTCATCAGCCCTTCAGTCAGTCAATGGTCCTAAATATAGCCCCATTATGAATTTATTCATTTCATCACACGCTGCGACAGAAGACATTATTATTATGCACTGGGTCAGAACTAGTTTCAGAGCTTCAAAGAGAGAGAAGCAGTTTTATTTCGGCTGACTCAAATGAACGAGTACGTATGTGCGCGTGTGTGTTTGTGTGCGCGCGCGTGTGTAGCTACGTATCCTCCTCCATCACTCTGACGCACGAGTCAGGTGGTTGCTCTAATAGCATGAGGAGCTGTCCGCGGTGCTGAAACCAGACCCGCACCGCGAGACAGAGAGATGCTCAGCTCACTCACGAGCCTCGACAGAGACTAACTACCGAAAGGTAAGACTCGGTTGTTGACTGCACGTCACACTACTCTGGGTTTTGTTTACTTTCACGCGGCATACAAACAGAGAGGGTTTTTATTTTAGTTACTTAAGCTTCTATTTCTGTAGCTCTTTGCCAACCTGATGCACCGCCACAGCCGCCGAGGCGAAGAGGTCGCCCCGCAGCTTCTTTGTTCTCATTACGCTTCAGACGATCCAGATTTGCGTGCACTCTTTTTTTTTTTGTAGCTCATAATTGCTACTCTTCTATCACATGAAAAAAAAACAATTATAAATAAGAAGTTTTTGCAATTTAAATTCAGGTTTTGGAAAAGCGAAAAGGAAAAAGTGAACATAAAAAAGGACAGAAATTGTTGATGCATCGTCGCATCTGGTGAGTTCTGCATCGTTCTTACTTGCCTCGTGTTCTAGAAAGGGAACATTTTAAATAAATGCATTTGCATTAAAAACGTGTCATAATGCATTTTGCACGCCTGTGTCATATAAGCCCCACGGACAGAAACAGGAGCGTTTAAATTCGCGTGCAAAATAGTAATAACTGGGAGTTAAGAGGTTTTCGTCGGTTGAAGGAAAAGGTTCCATGGGAACAACAGCCTAAACAGGGTTACCTTGACAACCGGGCCGTGACTCACGGAGAGCAGCAAATTTTTACGGCTAATGAGATTTACACGGAGCTGAACGACGCTGCTGGAGACAGGAGGCAGGATTCAGTGTTGATCCTCCAGCACCAGCAACAGGCAGGGAGGTGGAGGAGATACAGAAACACGATGTTTAACACTGATCACGCGGTACAATACCACTTTGTTATTTTTATCATCATTATTATCATTATTAAATAGAAGGTTGATCACTAACTAGTTGCTTCTCAGTAATCTTGCTGCTGCTTCTTTCATATTTTCTTTGATGCAAACTGTAAGAGCTGCAAAAAACATCACAAAAAAATGTAAAAAATATATTGGAATTAAAGCAATAAGCATGATTCAAGTAAAACAAGAGTCTACCAAATAAGGAAACTGGGTTTGTTTTTTAATTAACTGGATTTTTTTCAGGCAGTTCAGACATTTAATAGAATCATAATTAAGATAAATTGAGGTATTTAAGCTGGTTTACAGCGGAGCAAAAAAGTCACCAATCAGATGTAAAACCTCCTGCCTTTGGATCGATTCAAATGTCTCCGTGGTGTGTGACGCTGTCATCAGACCGGACATTTAAAGTGATGATGAGAGCAGAAGAAATGCCAGAGCGGTAACCGTCGCGAACCTGTTATCTTAACGTGTAAAGGTCAGCGCTGACATGAGTCTCTTTTGTCTTCCCTCTGCAGGCGTCACCATGCCGTCACTCTCCGAGACCTCCGCCAGCCCTCTTCTCCTCTGTTTTGCCAACTTCCTCTTGATCCTCCTCTTCCTCGGCTCCCCCACCACTCACGGGGCTTCCCTCAGAGAGCACAGACTGAGAGGAAGTGAGTCAGACTCCCAGAGGGGCGACGTCCTCCAGACTCCCAACATCGACATGCTCAAAGCGTTGGAGTACATCGACGGCCTCCGTCAGAGGACCGGCACGGACTCCCAGCAGCGCGCCCCCGTCGCCGGGGGGTACGACGCCGCCGGCAGCATGGATGACGCCGAGAGGCTACGTGCCATGCTGAGGCTGGCTTCCAACCCTATGCAGAGCAAAGACGAGGAGGAGGAAGAGGAGGAGGAGGAGGAGGAGGGGGGAAGGGAGGACAAGAGTGAGGAGCTGCTCCAGGCCGTGCTCTCCACCCTCCAGCAGACGGAGAAGGTCTCCAAGCCAGCCGCGGCGGACGGCGCGTATCCCAGGGTGCAGCAGAAGCAGCACAGCATCCTTCCTCACAAGAAGCTGCCGCTGATGTTTGAGGACGAGGAGGAAGGCGAGGGGGACGAGGACGAGGAGGAGGAGGGCGGCGAGAGGGGGCCGGACCTGGAGCACGGGAGCCCCTTCAAGCGCACCAACGAGAACGTGGAGGAGAAGTACACGCCTCAGAACCTGGCAACTCTGCAGTCTGTGTTTGACGAACTGGACAAGCTGACAAGTGTGAAGAGCATGCACAGGCGCCAGGACGAGGACGACATGGGGGAGGAGGAGGAGGAGGATGACGATGCGGACGAAGGCGACATGTTCAATGTGAGGGATGTGGGATACGATGACGGGGATCTCGCAGACTGGGGTCCGTTACAAGACCAAGAAGAGGAGGAAGAGGAGAGGGACAACAAACACGAGGCAAACCGAGGGCTCGATTACGTCGACGATAATGACGAGGAAGCTGATGAGGACGACGAAGAGGACGACGATGACAGCTACCCAGTCAAGAGATCGAACGATCCGGATGACCTGGCCAACCTGGTGGACTACTACCTCCTGAAGGTGCTGGAGAAAAGAGAAGAGGAGGAGCACAAGCGAGAGATAGAGGAGGAGGAGGAGAAAAAGAGGGCAGAGAGGAGAGTGGCTCAGACGCAGTACAGAGACAGCATAGACCCGCGGGCCATCTACCAGCTCATTCAGATCTCCCAAAAATACCAGATCCCACCCGAGGACCTGGTGGACATGCTCAAAACCGGAGAGACGATGAATCAAGACATGTCACGAAAGAGCAGCGGATTATCCAGAGCGGAAAACAAGCTCTCTCAGATTTCTCCGAAGAAGACGACGCACAAGATTCCCGAAGCTAAATTCTACAGCAGACGCCTTCCTGACAGACAGAAGACCCCCGAGGAGCGGAGGACAGAAGAGATACTGAACATCCTGGGGTTGGGGGCCGCAGAGGACCGAGCTCCCGTCAGGATGCAGAAGCAGTACAAAAGCTCGCCGTCACGACTTCACGCTCTGCCCGCGGGGCGTTCGGGGGCATCCGCTCCCACGCAGCGGCGCCCCCCTCCCAGCACGTCGAACGACGACTACGATGACACCGTGGACGAGGACGAGCTGGCGGCGTATCTGGCGGCTCAGATGCTGGCGCGGTACCCGAGGCCCACGTACCGGGGCAACAAGGCGAGCCAGAAGCGGGACGAGGTCGGGCAGGGCGCCACGGGATCTTTTGAGCGGGCCATGCAGGCGTATTTCGATCAAACGGACTCAGACAAAAGCCTGAATGAAAAGAGACAGTCGGAGGGCGAGGAGAGGGGCGGCGAAACGCAAATGCAAGGCTTTGATAACGAGGCGGTGATGAAGCTGCTGAGCTCCCTCAACCCAGAAACTGAAGAGAGTGATGCCGAAACGGGCCAGTGAATATAAAGAAAGCTAAAGATACACATATATATATATATAGTATACATAATGTTTTGGTGGTGGGTGGAAATAAAGTATTTTGAAGAATAAAACACGAGTTATTCTGTTGGTTTACAAAAAGTTCCTATTTATTAGCAGAAATATGAGTGGATAGACATTCATTTGATGCTTTTTTTAATGAGTTTGTTGCTCAACAACACTAAACAACCAGTACATGTGACTCACCAGCCTTTCAATGCACACACACACAGCCAATCAGTGTTGGATCCCATAGATTCACTTGTGGGTATTTTTTTTTATTCTCATTTGTTTTTTGTAAATGTGGTCATATGTGACATACCTGAAGTTAATAAAGCATTGACTTTATTTTTTCCTTACTGTGTAGTGTTTCTTCATTTCCTCACCAACACACAATGCATTCGTTTGAATCAACAAAACAAAAAACACATTGAAATAAACTGGGGAGAAACAGACTCCTTTCAGTCATAAAACCCTGAGATTGATAAATATGAGGCTTAAAGGGCACTTAAAGATCCAAACAAGTATTAAAAACTACGTGGAAACATTGAGGTTATTGCAGCATTGTTCCAAATGAGTCATCATAAGTCATGAAACAGAAACGATGCGGAGTAATAAACCTTTTGAGACGTCCTCGTGCTCGCGTAGCTCAGTAGGCAGGTTTGCTCATGTATTCCTCCATCGTCTGTGATAAGAGCAGAGATACGTGTGAGTAACAAGAATAAAGAACTATGCTCACTAAGCGTCTGTCGAGCCCTTAAAATACCTCTTGGAGTGTGTCAGCCTCCTCCACAGACACACTCACGGCTACTTTGGATGTTTCTAGAACTTCTCCTCCCATCAGGAACTCGTCCAGGATGAAGTAAGCCTTCTCAAAGTTGAAAATGATGTCCAACTCACACACCTGAAACAGAATAACATGCGTTGCGTTACACTAGAGATACATTAAACTTCCTTGAAAGGTAATTTCGGCCATTAGAGAAGAGGATAAACAGCACTAGTATGGGTGACCAGGTCCTAGTTGCATATTATTAAGAATATAGGAATGGCAAGTTGTTGAAAGAAATAAAAACCTGACAAACACAATTTTTTAATAACTCTCCCTTTTCCTCATCTTCTCTTCCCACAATTTTCAGTTTCATTGTTTGAGTTTTTGTAAATAAGACGGGAGTGGCTGTCGTCTTGTTTTTGCAAATCAAAAACAAGCAGGATGGACGTCCAGTGGTTCTGGAGCCGAGGCCCCTTCTGGACACCAGAGGGAGTCAGACTGGTGGAGAGCAGCGATACGACTGAACTCCTACAGTGTAGAGTAACACAGGAGCCTCTGTAGTTCAGATCCTTGTACAACAGTGTACATATAAAGCAATAAACATCACAGTTTTCTGTTCCTTCAGTTGTTTTATTTGTCACAGCTGAGTTCTAATGAAGGGAGATCTTAATCGAGACGCTATATATATTTATATATGCTTCCATCTTTGTGCCTCTTCCTGTTTCAACATGACAATATCCACATAGCTCTATCAGACTTGTGAAGTGATGAAGCATCTTGTATCAGTTGTTAACATTATTAGATGACTAAACAACAGTTGACCCGTGACTTACAGATGGTCCCATGACAGAAAACTGAACGATCAAGTCTCCTTTCTCTACCTTCTTTGTTAACATTGGTCTGAATATCTGTAGCAGCAGAGTGAATAACATCGGGGATATTTTAAATCTTCTATTCATTTTAATTGTGTTGAAATGATCCTCTGTGAAAAAGCGTCTTTGTCCAGAATTAATTAAATACATAAAAGCATGAGACACAAAAGTAGGTCATCTTTTATACTAATGAATTGGTTTAAAGCTTGCTCGATTAGACCTTTTCTGACTGCTGTGTGAGCTCCACTTACGTTGCCAAAGTATTTATCCAACAACTCGACGTATCTGTGCAGCACTTCGAGGGTCAGCAGCTCATTATCCTGGTTCTCCAGACCGGTGCAGAAGTACAGGCTGGCATACCTGCATACGGAGAGGTTAAAGGTCAGATGTGACGGCGACGGTCCACACGATGTTGTGAAGAAACGAGGAAACGTTAGCAAAACACCATGAGAGGATAAGCGCTCATCACGGTCCTGTCAGTAATCTAGGTCACCCTCTGTATGTTTAACCAGACATTTACTCCACCCACGTCTTGAGAATGGGTGTGTCTGTCTTCTGTTAATCATTAAGGATAAACGCAGTCAAAGGTGGTTTCTGCTCAACACCCAAGTCTCTACCTGGCAGAAAAGGACTGCAGATGACGAAACCCTGAGCGTTAGCTTGTAATTGTAACACAAATGATAAAAAGCTGCGTCTCTTGCAGTTACCTCTTGTAAACAACCTTGAGGTCCCGCCAATGGAGGAAGTTGCAGGAGCGAGGTGGAAGTGCCAACACCAGCATCATCATGTCCCGGATCACCTTCTTCTTCTCCCGGTCTGTCACTGGGGTGAACCATTTCTGCAGTCGCAGCTTCCCCTGACGGCTGAACAGCAACAGGAAGCGCATCTGAAGACGGCAGGAAGTTGGGACAAAAAAAAGAGCAGAAAACACAAACTTATGAAAAATTTCTGTCTTAGCTGTGTTAGCAGGCCGAGTGAAGTCAATGCTTTATGTGTTAAAGCTGCATTCTCTCTAGTGTCCACCAGGGGGCAACTCCTCTGGTTGTATAGAAGTCTATGAGAAAATGACTCTACTTCTCTCTTGATTTATTACCTCAGTAAACATTGTAAACATGAGTTTATGGTCTCAATCTCTAGTTTCAAGTCTTCTTCAATACAGCATTATGTTCATTTAGTAAATGATGGTCCATTTAGAGTCAAACAGACCATAAAGCAGGGGATGCTTTAGGGCGGGACTACTGTGATTGACAGGTCGCTGCCGCTACCAGAGTCTTTGCAAAAAAAACAAAACATGGAGACGGCCGTAATCCAAGATAGCGACGACGAAATGGCCAAACTCGAGGCTTCAAAACGGCAGTCCACAAACCAATGAGTGACGTCCACTTCTTACAGTCTGTGTGTCTGTGTGTGTTACGGATAAAATGACCAAACAGGAGGAACATCTTGTGGAATGAGGGGCAACTACAATGTGGTTAATGGTGTGTGTGCAGCTTCAACAGAGGAAACCAAACACAGACATACAATGAAGCAAACACACACACAGAGACACATGCATGTGCAAACAACCAAACACACACACACACACACACACACACACACAGTAATAAAACTCCCAACAACAGTTTAAGCTGCCTGCAGCTAAAGCAAAACCAACCACGTGCTAGGGTTGCACCAAACAGCAATTAGATTGCACAACTAGGAATGTGAATGAAGACCAAACACCTTGTAGCGCCTTTGAGGTGCAATGACTGTAAATTCAAAGTGTGGTGTTGCGCAAGAGCAATTAATGAAAGCTCTTTGCACTGAGGTGCAGCAGCAAGCAGCACTGCTTCTGCCTGCAGCACCATACACCAGAAAGAACGTGTAACTTTAACACAAGTACAAGCCGGACAAGGATGAAGAATGATTTCGGTTCAATCATTTACAGGTTATATGATTATTTCAAGTGGTATTCTAGAGTAACCTTATTGTTTAATTAAATAGTAAAAACAAGGCACTCCTGCAACTGAAACCAATGTTCTTGAGAGTTGCATTCATTTGACACAACATGGTTGTCACACTGCAAAAAACTATCCCTTCCAATTTTTTCAAGCTTTTCACTTTGTGACATGTGATAAATCTGACATATTATTCTCTTTAAAATATCAGTCTCTTGAGTAGAATAACTCCACTGAAGTACCAATTACATGATCGAGGAAGTAGCCGAGCAAAGTGAAATGCCGTAAGAAAGAAGTAAAGTACCTTCATCAGTGACACACAACTGATATAGGTATTTATTACAGTGTAATAACCTGCATGAACTCGCCAGCAGGTCAATTATAGCAACAAGCTGTACTCACCATCTTGTGACAGCAGTAAACAGAAGTGACCCAAAACTCAAATCCTCCAGGCTTGTGATAAACCCCCCCGGAGTACTATCCTACGGTATCTTGTGCGTTTTGGAGATGCAGCGACATGTTTTTGGTCTTCTCACCTTCTCCAGCCAGAGCCACGCCCCCCGCTGCACTCCAGCGTCTGATTGGCTAGCGGCAACACAGACAGGTGAATCACTGCAGTGCAGAGAGAGAGAGATATGTTGATTTAAAGCACTACACAGTTGTAGTATTGTACATTTGTAATTAGTAAGAGTCTTTTTAGGAATACATAACACACATTACTGTGATAGCCAACAGCTGAGCGAATGAAAAAATCCACACATTTGGGCCATTAAGTTATTTTGTAATGTATACTCATTGTTTTTACAAATCTGGTACTTTCTCATAAATATGACTTTCTATCTTATAAATATGATTTTCTATCTCATAATTATGACTTTTTCGATTTACCATGAGGATATCTTTCATATCAAGTCAAAAAATGAAGTCCAACCTTTTTTTTTTGTAGAAAAAAAATAAATAAATTAAAAAAAAAAATATATATATATATAATAATAAAAAAAAAAATATATATATATATATAATAAGAAATAAATAATAATAAAAAATATATATATATTTATATATATTTCAACATTTCATTCAGTGTATAGACACTTATAACGGATATTTCAACTAACGAAACACTGCTAGCTTAAATTTCCGTTAAACTAAGCTAATTTAGCTAGCTATCTTTAGCCGGAGCTAGCAGTGTTGCTCACACGGTGGTTCTGCTTCAAAGCCCGCCTCCTGTCAGGTAACTTCATGTTTGATTTCACTGTAAGCCTATTTATACTTTCACGTCGTATTTTACCACTAACCTTCTTTTGTACTGTTAAAAAGTACTTACAGAAGAAGGACTACCGTTTTCAAACGGCAGGGATATAAAGAGTAGTTAGCTTAGCTAACCTGTAAGCCTGCTGTAACCGTTAAGTTCAGTTTGAGTCACGTGGGTCAAATGACGGTCTACTGAACTTCCTGCTGCTCCGGTGGCCGCGCCCACTGATGTTAATTCAACGGAGCCACACGTGGTTTTGGGTCCAGCTGTGGGGGTAAAAAAGCGGAGGAGAGAGCTCCGCACAGCGAGAGGCTTCCAGAGCAAACACACCACCATGTCTCTGTACCGCAACTCTGCCTGGTTCCTGAAGGGAGTGACCGAGTTCACCAGGTAAGATGCTCTTCATCTGAACCCGTTCATACCGCTGAGATATGAGATATATTAGGAGTCTGTGCATGCTCATAGTGAATGTGTGTGTGTGTGTGTGGAGGAACAATTTGTTTATTATTTCAGATCACTTCACAGTTGTAACTTTGCTAAAAGTGATTTGATTCCTGCAGCTCATCATATTCATGTATTTAATATGTAAAGATAAATTAAAGGGTGACAGCTAATAATAATACCGTAAATAATTATCTTTGCCTCGTGAGTTTATTGTAATATTATTGTATTTCTGATTCTAATGAGGGTTAAAATCACAGGACTCTTGGAGTTCATATTTAACATTTACAGGCATCATTCTAGGCAAAAAATAAAATGATAAACCAGTATGATTGTCTGTGTGGATAGATCCTAAGAGATGGGATGAGTGCGGGCCACTTATTGTCTTAAATACAATATAATCAGGGAACACCGCCTTAAACGGCCTTCCGTGCCTTTCCAATAGATGTCTTGAATTTTAGGCTGATACTAATCTTTTTGATAAAAGTTAACATCATGATGTGTAGAGCTGAAACAATTAGTCTGTTAGTCAATCAACAACAACAAAATGGCTCATCGTTTAAATCATTTATCAAGCAGAGCATCTCATCTTCTTAAATGTGAGGATTTGCTGCTTTTCTCTCTTTAAAAAATCTGCAAGTGAAACATCTTTTGGTTTTTGGACTGTTTAGACAACTTACTGACATTTAATAGACCAAATGATTAATCCAGTAATTGAGAATGCAATCATCAGATTATTCGCAGCCTTAGCATTGATATCAAGCTGATGTGTTTAGGTTACATGAGGTCAGGTCAAAGGTTATATAAGAGCTCGATCTCTGAAAGAAATAAGACGAGTTATTGTTTCTTGTGGTTGTTGACCAGTTCACAGACATTTTGACAGAATGGAGCTGCAGCGCATCTTTGAATCACTGATTTATGAACGTTGCAAAGTTTACGGTGACTGAGTGTGGAGCCACGTACGTCGGTTGTTCGCTCCGAATGCTTTATCAGTCCTATATGTGATCTGTTGCAGCCCCTAAGGCGCCTTTCCTCATCCCTACACAGCGAGCCAAGTCGCCTGAAGAGGTGCTTTTGTGATTGTTTCCCTTCTCCGCCCTTTGTTCTGTGTTATCTTTTCTCCCAAAGAGCTGCCCGGCAACCCGTTCTGACCCGACACTAATAGCTCTCGGCATGACACCATCGAACAGAGCGGGCATTTAGCCTCAGCATCCCCCCCCCCCCCCCCCCCCCCTTCACAAAGGCATCCAGGACAATGGGGGCAATTGAAGTCCAGACACACACCGATCCCGTTGTCACCGTCGGTCGTCTCACCCCAAACCCCCTTCTTCATCAGAGACGATGCCAGGCACGCTCTCGTCTTCATTGTATCCGTACAGTAGAGACGTATACAGTAAACATGCTGACCTCAAACACACTGACCCTCCATGAACTCAAACCCTGACCCTCTCAGACCCGCCTTTACTTCTCAGAGATCTGTGCGTGGATGCATTCAAGATGAAACCACTTGTTGGTGTTGTTCCTGCAGGAGTGCCTTTCTGACGGCCTCCAAGAGGTTTGTGGAGAAGGACCTGGAGGTGTCCTTGGCCGGACGCGCCTTCATGATAACGGGAGCCAACAGCGGCATCGGGAAAGCAACCGCCATGGCCATCGCCAAGAAAGGTGCTAAAGGACACTAATGCATTGCAAAAGTTGTTTTTCTAATACTACTATTATCAGGGGGAGTAACTGCAGCGATGATGGTCATGACACATTCCAATTTTGGATCATAAAAACCATCGACAGGTCAGGTAACAGTACATTGAGTGATGCTTAGATTAACCCATGATAAACCATTCATGAAATAGCCCAGACCCGGGTAGCACCATGTTTAAAAGCACCAGACACTAACAGTATTAAAACCTAGCGCATAATAATTTGCGCTTTCCAAAGTTAAATACAAAGATATAGCTTTTGTGAGTGTTTAAAGTCGTGCACAGCATTTTTATAACCATGAGATCGCTCCTCAATCTGGTCTTTTACGACTCGGTCAGCCGGCACTAACACAAGTCACACACTACAGTAAAGTAGAACCACTTGGTGCAGGCAGGTAAAAAAGGTTCGCCCTCACACATTTCCCCTTACAAAATAATAAATGTGTTCAGATACTGTTTTCCTCAGCCGGAAAAAAGAACGACGTTTGTTCTGTCTCGATGTCGCAGGTGGAACGATCCACATGGTGTGCAGGAACAAGGACAAGGCCGAGGAGGCGAGGGCTGATATCGTCAAAGAGACCGGAAATAAAGTACAGTATGACTCACTTCTAAAACAGGCATTTCAAAGATAAGTATGTAGGACAGACAGTCTTTAAATTGTCATCACAGGAGGTGTACGTCCACATTCTGGACCTTTCTGAGACCAGGAAGGTCGGGGAGTTTGCTGAGGGCTTCAAGAGGAAGTACAAGGCCCTCAATGTACTGGTGAGTGACTAGAGTTACCTATTTTTTTCGAAATATATGGCATTATTATTCGTCCTTATTTTACTGTTTTGTTTTAGCACCTACTTCACCGCTCCTCCTCTCTTTGTCTTTGTGCAGATCAATAACGCGGGCGCCATCATGAGTCAAAGGGACGTGAACGCTGAGGGGCTCGAGAAGAGCTTCGCCTCCAACGTCCTCGGTGAGTCAGCGGTCAGGGGGGAGGTGTGAAGGAAGCGTTGATGAGAGGGAAAGATGGGATAGTTGTGATTTAATTCTTTTTATTGTCGTCCACTAGGGGTTTACATTCTCACCAAGAGTCTCATTCCCTTGCTGGAGAAGAGCGCAGATCCCAGAGTGGTGAGTCAGAGAGACAAACTGTCAGAGTCAGAACTGTGGGTTCTTCTTACCTCACAGAAGTCATGGACGCCTTTCATGAGCAGCTCATAGACTTTAGATAATGCTGCAGTGGTCATCCATCATTTAAATGAACATTTAATGGGGTTTGGGAAACAGTAGGCGCGGAGGGAATAATATACAGGTTCACCGGCTGCAGAAAGAGCCAATATCTGTATTATTTAACTGTAAAAATGATACTTTATATGAAGTCAGCAGTGGAAGATGTCTTTGGTAAAGTAAAAATAATAAGTACCCCGTTACATGTAGTCCTGCAGTAGAAAAAAAAGTGGTATTATTTGGAGACCTGAAAGTGTTATTTTATGTTTTAATATTATAATAAAAGATACAAAAAATATATATATATGCAGCATCTTAGAGGCTTACATTTTATTGGAGCTAATTTTAACAATTTTATATTCACAGTTTGGTAGTTTAATTTATTGCAAGGTTCTGTATGTAAAATCATCGCCTGCAAGGTAACTGGTAATTGTAGCTGTCAGATAAACGATGTGGCACCAAAGTACAATATTTCCCTCTGAAGCGTAGTGGAGTAGAAGTTTATAGGAGCTTAAAATACTCTTTATATTCCTCAAAATATGACTGAAAGTTACAACCTCGAAGATCTTCTTTTGGTTCTCGTTGGCGACACCTATGGCCATAAGCGGTAATTGCATGTGTGTTTTTGGATCTCCCTCCTCAGAGATCGCTGCTTGTGAACTTTCCACTGGAAAGATCGCCACAGACATCGTAATACTGTTAATGCTAGCAGCTTTCTTGGCTTTGTGTTACCCATAGACTGTATAGAAGAAGTGGTGACCTATCGGTTTGTGGACTATAGTTTTGAAGCATCGAGTTCTGCATTTTGGCCGTCGCCATCTTGGATTTTTGCAACCAGAAGTGACATGAGAGTTCAGCCGAATGCTGAATGCAACATATTTAGGTGGCCAAAAAGGTTACAAGAGTGAACTGAAAACACTGTGAAAAGGTTAAAGTTGTAAGACGAAAACACGAACAGCAGCTTGGTAACAACCTGTCAATCACCGTGTAGCCCCGCCCTAAAGCATCCCCTGCTTTATGGTCTGTTTGACTCTAAATGGACCATAATGTACTAAATGAACATCATGCTGTATTGAAGAAGACTTGAAACTAGAGATTGAGACCATAAACTCATGTTTACAATGTTTACTGAGGTAATAAATCAAGAGAGAAGTAGAGTCATTTTCTCATAGACTTCTATACAACCAGAGGAGTCGCCCCCTGGTGGACAACAGAGAGAATGCAGGTTGAAGGCTCCACTTTTCAGAACCAGAGGTTGCTGCCTGGTGTTACTTCATTCGGACTTAACAGACATTTCTTAACATATAGTACTTGAATATATACTTTGCCCTGTTGCACCACCGTGAGCAGTACATTGATATGATATGAAATTGTGTTTTATATCACGCCCACATCAACCCCAGCTCCCTCCTCCGCCCCTCACCCATGTTTCCCTTCGTCCCTGTTCAGATCACAGTGTCTTCAGGAGGAATGTTGGTGCAGAAGCTCAGGACGGGGAACCTGCAGTCTGAGAGGGGCCGCTATGACGGCACCATGGTCTACGCCCAGCACAAAGTAAGAGGGCTGTAACGTCTTCAAGTGTTAGGAAGCAGACAAGACATAGAATAGCGTGATGAGTCCTTTGGTTTGGGCCTTTTTTTTATTCATTTATATAATTAATTGATGAGATACTAAAATATTTTGTTTATTTGTTTAGATTTCTTTTAAATATTTTATTTGTATACTGATTGTAGAGTTCATTAGCATTAATGTGAACTCAACCATTCACTCCGATTATATCTTGTTTACATTTTTTATTATTTTTACGGTTTAATTTCTTATTTATTGTACTTGTTTTGTTTTTAGCTGATGTCTCTTGTTGTTGATGTCCCCTTTCCTTCTGAATACTGCAAATGTCCCGCTTATCTTGGATCCATTTTAACAGATGGAATTGGCCATTTTTAAAGATGCTGCATATGAATAAGGTTTCCATCCAAAACATCTCAAAGAGCATCAGCCTTCACAAGACCCTGTCAGCTAAATCCTGTTTGGATTATGATTCATCAACATGAAACCAGAGCCTGAATGCTTCAAGTCTGAGTCTGCGTCACTTGTTTGTTTTTTGTTTTTCATTTAGTGCAGCATTGTGAAAAGAGACGTGTGAGCCTCACCTGCCCGGAGTCCAACCCTTCAGACGTCCTCACCGAGCAGAATCTATCTGAAGACACGTTTATTCACGTGTGTGTGTGTGTGCGTGTGTGTGTCTGTGTGTGTTCCAGAGGCAGCAGGTGGTGATGACAGAGCAGCTGGCAAAGACTCACACTAACATCCACTTCTCCGTCATGCATCCCGGCTGGGTCGACACTCCAGGTACCGCCCCCCTCACACACACACAAGAACCACCGTGAGAATTACCAGCAAGCCACCACTTGGTGGACAAATTAAACAAAATGTAAATATTTTTAGAAAATCGTCCCTAAGGCGTGGTTTATACTCGCCGTAATGAAGCCGGTGCACAGAAAATGGCGTAATCACGGCCTGTAAGTTGTGTGCGAATACCCAACTGTCACAAAGAGTTCACTGATAAAAGTTTGTGAGTAAGTTCGTTTTTAGATGCTTTAGAAACAGGAGTTATTAAATATTTTGCAGCCAAATCAAATGGTTTACAGGACATCCATCATTTCTTTCTTCAAAATGCATGATATACTTGACTTCTTTCTTTACGGGGCGTCCCTGTATTTAAGGGAAATAAAGTAGTCCATGAATATGAGGTAAGAGTTTACAGTTATTTCGTCCTCTGCATTGTGGAGGTTGGTTTGTGGCGTCTTGCCGGTAGTCTTCTCACTTCGTAAACACTTATGTTTGTACGCCCTCTGGTGTTTCGGTGGAAAATGCGTAGCTTAAGGCTCGCGCCACAGAGCCCCGCATTAGCTTAACGCTCAGTTTGTTTTCTGTCCATCTCTGTCCCAGCGGTGGCCAATGCCATGCCAGACTTCCATCGCTCCATGAAGGACAGCCTGCGGGCCCCAGAGCAGGGGGCCGACACCGTGGTGTGGCTGTCCGTCTCTGAGGCTGCAACCACCAACCCCAACGGCCTTTTCTACCAAGGTATGTGGCGAAACCAAAGCAATCCTTCTCTTTACCCGCTTATCTGTTATATATCGCGTATATACAGTATATTTAAAAAAAAGACAAATACAATTTTAGTACCCCAAGATTGCAAAAAACAGTAAGACGGGGAGGAAAGAAGCCAACACTATTGGCTGAATCACACGTTTGTCAGTTGTGGGTCGCAATAGTGCGTGTGTGTGTGTGTGTGTGCACGTGTGTGTGAGAGTTTGGCCTGTGTCCATTGCAGCTGGACTGGGCTGCTTTTGGTGCCAGATACTGCCCGAGAGTACAGTGCCTCTATGAACACACACACACACACACACACACAGATCCCAGCAGCCTTGTAGAGTAAGGGAGTAACTTAATATAAAAACCTCACTTCAGCAGACACAAACATACTTTATTCATCTTTTAATGTGATGTATTATGACTTGTGTCCTCATTTCTTTTTAATATTCTAATCAGGTTGGTGCATCTTGCTGCTCTGTGTATTTATATAATACCAGTAGTGACATTATGCAAACGGAAGCCAGGCTTTCCTTCAATAAGCCTTCATATCTGAGGAGTCTCCTTAAACACCAGTCAGGCTCTCTGTCAGGCTTTACTTTATCTCACATCAACACTCACTGAGCAAACTGCTGGAGGAGCCAAAGTGTGTGACAGCTGCAATGTTTTACTGCCATCTTGGAAAACACTGACCAAAAAAAGTATTTTTCTGTTTTTATAATGAAAGTGAAACCTTCAACACCATGAATGATGTAACAACATGCTACACTTCAAGGTTCAATGTTTTTGCTTAATTTATTAAATCAAATTTAGAGCCTGCACCTGATGACACCCGTCATGATAAAATAAATAAATACCGACAGTTTTCTTGAAACGATGAGCACATACTAAGTATTTTAAGCCGTTGCTTGCTCATGTTTGTTTTTGTATTTCTTGTTGAAAGACATTTTATTTTGAAAATTACAATTCTGCCTAGTAGTTTCAAATAACCAGACCTACCTGCACATCTAATTCCACTGATTTAAAGGCATCTGCAGGTCTTGAAAAGTCTTAAGAAGCAATTAATTCAGTTTCCTCAAAAACAGGTATTCAATCATTTTTTCATTATTTTTTGTATTTGACTGCGGCCAATCGGGAGACGTTACGCACCTCTTCAATCCTTTCAGTCGGCACCATCGGAACTGAAATAAACTAATCATTTTCCACTGGTTTATGCATCCATCCATTTAATGCTTATTCATTTAAATAATTATATCATTTGAAATTATAATTATGAACTGTCAAAAAATTGATAGAGTAAATATTTCTGGTCCATATTTTTTCTTCTGGTTTTCCATCATACTTTATTAATTATAGTAAAACAAGTATTTAAAGGTCTTAAGATGAACTCTGTGGACCTTTGTGTTTGTTTGTTAGATTAGTTCCTGTTAGGGACGAGGGTTGAAAACGAATCCACTGTTTCCTTAAACCAATCTGAGAAGACATGTTTGTACGTGTGATTGGCCTTTTATTACCTTGGTAGAACTCAATATTACTTCAACCTCGAAGTGGGGATTAGGGAATATATATACACATACATACACACCAGAGTCAACATGTTGACATCCATCTTGTTTGTCTGCAGACCGAAAGATGGTGTCCACCCACCTGCCGCTGGCCTGGACCCACAGCTCCCCCCTGGAGGAGCAGAAGTTAATGTCTCTGCTGGAGGACTTGGCCAAGACGTTTCAGCCCCACTGAGTCAACACTAACACCTTCTGTTCACACCCATCATCCCTCTGATGATTTAATACACTGCAGTGAGTGAGGCCTGGGTCTGCTCTATACGAGGGCGTTAACTCTACCCGTGGTCGCCGGAATAAAACGGGACGAAATGTGAAGTTATGCTGTGAAACCCAGACCAAACTCACCTATACCGGAGGGATGAGCGACGTCTATAACGCTTTAGAACTATTTATACGATAACACATTTTCTTATTTTACTTTATAAGGATTTAAGAAAATGACTACCAGTGTTTGATAGTGATGCTGCCTTTAAATGACATTATCCTGCTGATGGAGAGAACACCTTCATAAAACAAACCAGTCCGTTACTGTGACTTTAAGAAAGTTGTCAATCAGATGGGAATCTGATGTGACCAAAGTCACTCACACGGGCTGCATTATTATTATTAATAATTCAGCTATGGGTTCAATCTGTCGTGCAAAGTGATTTTTATTTAATATCTACAAGTAACGCGTGTGCTGCTGATGTTGTGCAGGTTGAGCTCAGGCTGAAGTGCTCTCTCTATTAGCTGTGTGCCTTTTTAAAACACCACACGGCTTTGACATGTGCAATAAAACTAAACTGTATTTACGACTCTAATAACTGCCGAGCACCTTAAAAAAATAAATTTTACTGACTGGGAGTTCATCTTGTAAATGCCCGCTTGAATAAAGAAAATTACTGATTGTGTCTTGTTGCATTTTGATTCAAAATAAACACAAAGCTATTCAAATAACAGTCGAATAAACATCAGAATATCTTTATTAAGCATCAATTCTTTTCTCTCTGTGTCCCGTCTTTCGAGGGCTCAGAGAGACTTAAGTCAGTATTGTCAACAAAAGTATTTAAAAAATACAGTGATTCTTTTTTGAGAGACACATTAAACAAACCGCGAGTGTGTTTTACAAGCATCAAACCAAAGGGTTTACAATTTACAGAGTTTGAGATTACGGGACCGAGGTCCTGCAGTCGTCTTCAGCAACATAAAGGTTGTCCATTCTAGTGTTTGAAAGCAAAAAAAAGACTCCAAAAGGAAATAAACCATTTACAACATTAGAAACTCTATCCCTCCCTCCCTCCAGCTCTGAAGCTCTCTTTCATCATCCTGCCATCCATCACACCTTTAAACGTCGTGTTCATCTGGAGACAGACAGCCTGATATCACGACCAGCGATCTCATACAAGCACACGATGAGTTTTGGATCCTGATTGTTCGGTAGCATTCGTCAATAATCCTGTAGACCCCAATGACGCTTTGTGACACGCCGCTATACGATACTTAGGGTTGGACTGAGATCAGCTCGCCAATATTCCCATTTGACTAAATAAATTGTGTGTTTTTAATATCGCAGTTTCAGCTACATTAAGAAGAGCCTTGAAGACATTTTGAAAAGCTGCACTAATCAATATTTTTATATTAAGCAAGGATCAAAGGACTGATTTTCGAATTTATTGATTTTGTTTCAAACTTTCCGCTTTCATCATCAGCAGCAAAAAGCAGCGTTTTTTTTACAACTTCATGGCAGACAGACACTTAGTGGCTAGCTGGTTAACATATTTAAAAGAGAAAAAGTCAGCTAGTGATCTCAGAAGGTGCCAATATGTTGTGTTGACAATATGTTACAGTTTCTTTACGCGTTGCTCTGCTGCCACCAAGTGGCCCAAAACAAGTATGCAGCTCCAAAAAGCTTCTTTTAGCTGCTCGTTTTGTTTTCCCAGCTTGCAAACTCTACGGTCACCAAACGGCAGACAAAGTTAGCGGCTAGCATAGCGGTGTGTTAAGCAGCTAAAGAGTTTCAAACAGAATTTACAGGAACAACCTCCCAAAAAATACATTGTGCACATTTTATTTACTCTTTTCAAGTAGTTCAAATTAAACAAATCAATATTTTTGTAGTAGAATTGGATGAAATAACTAAAACGTAATAACATGAAATGTGTTTTTAGTGACGTAGCTCTACGGAGCCTTTAAGCTTTTTTCTTTTATTAAATATAATATATTAAATTACCAGTCAATTCATGGAGCTTTAATATATATATATGTAATTTGTAATTCAAGAAATGTTTTATCCCAAAGCTTCCAGAATACAGACGTTCCTGCACCAAAATTTTGTTCTTAGAGGAAAACAACAAAAAGGACAGAAATTAAAAAATATTAAATTTAAATAAACATTCATGCAAAAATATTGGCTACTGACAGATTGACTAATCATCAGCCCTTCAGTCTAATCCCAAGTATTACTGTGTGACATGTAAACATCGTGGAGTAAGAAGAGTAAACAACCACTGACAACGATAATAGATAAATACTTTACTACAAATATACACTACATGATCAAAAACCTGGAATGTGACTACATTTTGAAATCAGGAATTCCAACATTATGATGCTAATTTAGTTTTTTTTCTCCCCCCCACTTACAATAAGGCGAGCGTTGAGTCTAAACACTAGGAGACGCCGGCTGTTATTTACAAAGGACGCTACATCCAATCCAGCTATAAATCAAGCCTTACAAAATATGTTTTTGTTTAATTCAAAAAGACAAAAAGACCACGAGTTGTGCAATTCAGTGCAGTGGCGAGAGAGCGTTGATACGCGGACGCGTGCGTTTAGGGAAGGGCGGGAGTTAGAATTTGCAATAATGAAAAACAGAAACAGACTGGAAGGAAACATGTAGAGCTTTAGAACGAGGTGCGCGAACAGTCGTGAGCACTGATAACAAGGCTTCTTCGTGAGTGTGTCCTTCTCTGTAAGGCAGCCCCCCGGATTGATACCGCCACGATTCAACACGCCGGAACTTAGTGCTACTTGTAGTTTTTTTGAGTACCGTTTTAAGTGCCTTTCTCCAATTTTACGCCATTTAAAAAATGGAGATATTTATATTTTTATGAGATGAAAAGTAATTCTCATGATGCATCAGAATCTCGGGTTCTAAAGGGAGTGATACATATCTAAGTGGGGGCGGTGATGCCGTGCTATCGTTATCTCCGCCAGGAGAATCGCGCATGTGTGTTCGTGAGTGAGTGTGCACCTCCGTGTCCGTCCGCGGCCAATATCAAATATTTTTGGGTGGCCAGTTACGGCTGCATGTTGAAGGACCTCTCGCTTTCTTTTGCTGTGACTTTTATTACCCGTGTTATTCTGCCATTGACTGACTTCTCACTCACTAACCCCCTCAGTCTGAAGTGCATCGCCGACTAACAGCCGCTACTACTGTGCCCACAGTCAGGGAAGCAGTGATCTCACTTTTAGTGTTTTGGACAGTGTGACGGATGACGGAACTACAGGTACGCACGCTGCTGAGTACATCACTGCGGGTTTAATTTTGTTTAAGCCAGATTGTATGAAGTAAGTTACGAGACGACTTCGAGCCGTTTACCTGCATGCATAGTTGCTTGTTTTAGCCAATCGGGTGGTCGTTGCAGAAACACCTGGCGGAGATATGCACTACACTGAGTGCACCTTTCTGTTTTAACCTTTACCAAAATGAAGTTGGAGACTCAAACCTGTAACGCTGTGAATCACCACACTAATACAGAGACACCTCAGGATTCATATATATCAGGAAAGAGGCTGTTCCATTGTTTGTTTTGTTGTGATTCCACATTAATAATAACGGTGACAACTGACAATGACAGAAACCCCGTCCAGTGACAACCTACCGATGTAAAACCTCCTGAGAGCGATTTAAGGCCAACTAGTGAAAGAAAAACAAAACGGAAAGAGACGGAAAACAGCTGATCGCTTGGATCAGTGAGAGTCACTTCAAGCAGCTACCGGCTATACACACGTGATGCAGGGCTACGTACACGTGATGGATGACTGTTACAGTGAGTAAGATGCAGTTAGTGGGCCACAGTCATAAAGCAAGCTAGTGAATGTTTGTACAGGACTGCCAGGTCGGCGGTTTAGTGAACTTTACAGCGCAACGGTAATAAAAAAAAGAAAGACCTTTCGTCCAAAGAAGCATCGGAAATATTAATATAAACACTAATATCAATACCATTCCTCTCGTCGGAGAAATCATTACGATGCATGCACACACACACACGCACACTTGTGCTTAGGGTTCAGAGCGAGAAGTCGAAACATTACTCATACACACACTTTCATGTTGGACTGACAGGAAGTGAAATTAAATGTTTGAGAAGCAAAAGGAATGTGGAGGGCTGGGCTACACCACACACACACACACACACACACACACACACACACACACACACACACACACACACACACACACACACACACACACACTCCCAGGAGTGATGGGGAGGCAGGCGGGGGGAAGAAGAGATACTGTACAAAGGGGTTTCCATGACATTGGAAGAGTGGGCGGAGGCCGGAGGAGTGGGTGGAGTTGGGACCGAGCCAATCAGCGCGAAGAGAAGCCTGTTGCTAAGCTACAGCCAACCACCTGCGTCACATCCCAGATCTGTGGAGACAAACGGACGAGAAGAAATGAAGAAGAGGGCCGTCTGCAAAGATCTGCATCAACACAGAGAGGACTGTAAACTAGAGAGCACATCCACACCGACAACAATCATATCATGAGCAACTTCACCTATTGTGCAACATTACTTTCAATACATCATGTGCAATGCAACTTATTTCTGCCAGAATTACTTTTTTATTTGAGTTTCTATTTTGCACAGGTGTCAGTATTACTTCTTATACACTATACGTATGCTTATATTTATACTTTTACAGTTTTTCCTTTTTTATTATCTTTGATCAATCTTAAAGTTCTGTCAGGTTTTATATTTCAGGAAGTTTTCTTCAGACTTTTTACTGATAATTTAAACCAAATTGCACGATGGAAACAAATAGAAAGTTGAAATAAAGTAAACCAACGATCACATGACACAAAATGCACTTCAAGACACAGAAGCGCTCGACAGAGGAAGAGATGTTTGAACTCAGTAAAACAGTTTGGAATTCTGCTTTTTTTTTGTGTTAATGAAGAACAGACTCAAAAATGTCCATCAAGAAAGTCCTCAAACCATTTTAGTAGAATAATGGATTTATAATAATGCGGTTCATTCATGTTTAAGGCTTGTAAGTAGCACGGTCACGTTGTCCAGATGGACAGAGGAGATAATGTTGCAACAGTAGAAAGTTCCTGTAAACGTTTCACTTCTTTGTTTCCTCTGTGATAACGTGTCACGACTTCACTACATTATCTACAAACGTGAATTCAACTTTACCGCAGCGACTGAACCTCTATTTACGGCCATTTGTTCATTTCTCACAGCGGAGACGAAGGCGGTGTGTCGTTCAGAACGACTTCTTTCTTCCGCTACTTTCCGTTACTTTAAAACGAATGTTAGCTTTAGGCAACAAAACCACGAAGTTAGGTTTTGGAAAAACATCGTGTTTGGGCTTTAAATACCTTCGTATAGTTTAGGCAACAAAACCATGAAACCACAAAGTGGTATCGAACCCCAGTCTCATGGTTGAAAGTCATGTTTGCTGCACCCATCCACCAACAGTCTTTCATTGGAGACTGAATACTACGTCACTTGCTGTCTGACTGTGGATGCGTGTAATTCGCGTGTCCACCACGAATAAGGCTCCTGAATTGACTTCACAGCGGCGTTATTTTCGTCCTGAGCGACGCAAAAACAACAAACGAACAGACTACTCGTGTCCCTGTATGCGAAACCAATAGATTGCATTTCGTGGTGTATTTCACGAGCTGCCGTGATACACAAACTGTTGTTCACCTTGACAATGCGGTCGCTTCCACAGGTGACCATCAGGCCTCTGGATGGGTCCATGTCCATGTGAGCGATGTTGTGCTTCCCCTCGTGGAACGTGGCCAAAGGTGTCCGACTGCACACACACACACACACACACACACACACACACACACACA